TTTCAACCCAAGTTAGTATATGGTGAATAAATATTTGCATTAAAAAAATAAAGCACGCTTTCAATTTAAATTACACAGAATACATGGTGTGTTCCAAAAGTAATGAGAATGATTTTTTTTAAAGGAATTTATTGAACCAATTCTTACAAATACTCAAAATTCTTCAAACTATTGCCCTTGGGCTTCTACATATTTTTGCCAGCGACCCTGCCATGAACGGTACGCGTCCTGGAATGCGTTTTCCGGAACCGCTTTTAGGGCTTCGGTCGCGGCCGCTTGGATGTCTTGTATCGACGAGAAACGCATTCCTTTCAGGGGTGTCTTGATCCGGGGGAACAAAAAAAAGTCTGCCGGTGCCAGGTCAGGACTTTAGGGGGGTTGGCAGGACTATAGGGGGGTTGAGGAAGCGTTATCATCTTCTTTTGGGTCGGAAACTCACGTACTCGCAGGGCGTTGTGGCAAGGCGCGTTGTCGAGATGCACTATTCAAGTAGCGGAGATGTGTTTTCTCGTCCTGACGATCCTTTTTCGCAGTCTTTCCAGCACAACCACGTAGTAGGCGGTGTTAACTATCTGTCCTTCAGAAAGAAATTCTTTATGGACTGTTTGACGGACTGTTTTGCTGGTTGGTAGCCGCCTAGAGCGTTGATCGTCGCGAACCTCACCGCCCTTCCTTAAAGGCCTTTAATCACTTCGAAACTTGTGAGTACGACAGAACAGAGTCCCCATAAGCCTCACGAATCATTTTACTTGTCTCCTCAAGAGATTTGTTTAGTTTAGCACAAAAGCTTTATCGCGTATCATTGTTCCGATCGTCGACTCCACTTTTTCCGTGACACGGTCACCAAACGGAGGTTCATAAAAATTCACGTCCTGTCCCTTTCACAACTCGATTGGAAAGCTAAAGGTCCCCCGCACCTAACCCATGTGGTCCGATCCCCCTCCGACCAACAGGAGCGGCGCAGGAATTTCGTTCTCATTACTTTTGGAACACACCATGTATATATATATACCATCGTAATCCCATGAAACCTATCTTTAGAATATATATATGTATCATGAGATTACGTTCGATTACTTGCAAGTTTTAAACTAATTTTTCATTATATGACGTATATATTAACTTTATTACTGAATAATATTTTGTAATTCAATAATTAATAATGAGCGACATTTGAGCCCTCCTAGAAATTAGAAAATATAGAAAGAAATTAAGAGTGTTTTCAATGTCTGTCGAAGTTAAGGTCAAGGCCAGTTGATCAACCCCGCAGAAGTAATCATATATTTTCAAAAATAGCCAGCAATTAATTTTTATCCGAAGTAAAAGACTATTTTATATGATCAAAGTAGGTCACATGAAGCGAGACCTAAATATTATTAAACTGGCTGTAAGATAATCATAATAGCAATTGTTTTGTATATGCAGAATTTTCAGAAAGTTCAAGAAGTAAAATAAAAATATATTGTGTTACGCTATTCAAAAATTATGGTACAATATCGAAAGAATTAACAGTTTACGAATATTCTAACTATTTTAATTTTTAATTTGAAATGTCTTACAAATTATCGATTTCTTTTTTAAATACTTTAAGTTAGGGTTCTTTTTCGTAGAAGGATTCGAGGAATCGATTTATGCAAAAAATATGTCATTCTAATTAAAATATATGTTAGCGCCAACGTATTTTGGAGGGTCGTTGAGGGCAATTAGCCTGTACTATTTTGCCTTCGAACGATTTATGATAGGGATAGCCTGCGTGAGGTCTAAGCGAAAGGTCGTTTATGAGAGTCCAAGTGTGGCGATAGATGATGGCTATTGACTTGGAGTCGTATGGTCATCAGATGTCACAGGATTGCTTGCTTTGTTAGCTTCTGAGATTGTAGAAAAGAATAGATAGTTTGTTATTGCATTGCTTAGTCGAATAGGGACGTTGTTCCTGGAGGATCTGGTTACATAGTGGGGAGGCAGGGATGCCTTTGGTAAGAGGATTGAGTTTGACCTCTCGGCACTTACTCCAGCACTTTAATTGGGAACGGTTCTTCTTTTCGAAAAGTATCTAACATATAATTTGTATGAATGGACTGTTTTTATATTTCTACAAATACGAGATCTATTTAGATGGTTCGTTTCATCTTGTATACAAGACGTGACATCAACTTTCTTTAAAATGTCATCGTTATTTCAAACAATGGACTGAAACGTTATTGACAACAGTTACAGAGTATAATATATTATCTTTAGCGTTTTTACTGACGCGAATGTTAAAAAAAGATATAGAGAATCCATTAAGGTTTCTTTAATGGAATATTCAATTTTTGCCGTGGAATTTCAATTGAACTAGTATTAAAAGTACTAAAGTACGTTTATCTCAAAACTTATTATTCCTGAAATATTTGATTCTGTTTATTGTATTATTTTAATTATGACACGTGTTCAAAATAGCATATCAATATCATCAAAATACCATTTTATGTTTACTAAATAAGCAATCTACTAATACTGAGAAGCGTCGGACAGTTTAACAATGCTATCTCGTTACATTCGGTAGAATTCATTTATAAAGGATATCTATCCTTAAAAGTCTATGCTTAAAAACTTTCAAAATACAATTTCGGACATTTATTGTTAGTTAAAACAAAAAAATTAGTAAAATATATGATCAAAGTTTATGTAGAAATTTTTCGCATACATTGAGTACTGTCATCAGATTTTTCAGAATTTCATTTATAAGCTACATTGCTTAAACAATTTTGTTATAAACAGTATGTATTTTTAACACGTTTAATTCACCTGACATAATTAACACTAAATGTCAGAAATTGTATTTTGAAAGTCGCGTGTCGAGTTAGAGTATACATATTTAAGTAGGTTTTTGAGCTTTCGACCACCATATTGGATCCGCCATATTGAATTTTGATTTCAGATTTGTATTCAGCAACGTAAAAAACCGATATATTAAAAAGATCGAACAGTTAAAAAATATAGTTTTACAAGGCGTTTCGTGCGTAGTGCCAAGCGAGCACGGCAATTTAGGAGTTGTTTACCCCTTAACCCCTTCCCGTGCTTTGACGAGTCTCACTCGTGACGCACTCACAACTCAAATGTGATTAATGTTACTCAAATTTTGAATACTCTTCAATTTGAATTTTAGATCCAACTATAATTTGCGTTGTCAAGGATCCCTGAATATAAAATACTTAGAACATTTTAATTTTCTTTGTTCGTTTTAATGTTATAGTCCTGAATGGTTAGTCTTGACTGACGCACCTCATAAATAAATGGCACGGCAAGGGGTTCAATATTTACATAAAAAAAAAGAAAAAAATACGTGTTTCCTAATTAGCTTTCGTCTTGAAGTTTTAATACATTTTACTTCGCTCAGATCAAAACTGACTTTTTGCAGCAAGAATTTGGTCACTTTAGGAGTATTTCACCCCTCTCATTTTCACTCTCCTTCCAACATACCTAGGCCGAGTTTTGTCTTCTATCGAAAGATACTTTCATACCAAAAATTATCAAAATTGCTTCACTGGTCTCAAAGATATCGCACTTTTTCCATTTTACCCTGACATTTTGGAGGGGTTTTTTATACCCTAAATATGTTTTTCCACAGATAAAAAAATACGTGTCCCTTAATTTTCCATGTACTATAACATATCCGAATTTCAGAAAAATCGGAGAATGACACTTAGGTGAGAGTAAGTGCACCTTGTTACCTTTATAATTATAAGTCATTATTCTATTGGAATTCAGTATAAATGATTACATCTTGCATTTAAAAAAAAATGGAATTAACTTCGACACTTCCATCTGCTAAGAATTTCTTTATATTTTCCAACTTTCATACGTTTCTTTTTCGGCTATTATTTGAAATAGTGATAATGTGCCCAGATGAACAATAATGGTGAAACGCCCTCTATACAATTTCAGATTCATAATTCTCATTTTCAGTGATCCAAAGATTCGACTTTATCAGAAATATGGAATAATATATCGTAAATGGCATGCACTGCAATTTATATGCATCAGCTTTATATGTGAGTTGACTCCTTTCATATTACAGCTTTTCTGCTTCCTCCTGTTTACATGAAATCACAAATCTCCGTCCATGTAGTAGCCACACAGATATAGCGTACTCGTAAAATTGAATATGCTAGTAATGAACTTACATTGTGAATGACCAAAGTCATTTATCAAAGTATTACTATCTTTCTGCGAACGGAAAGTTAAAGTTTTCTCATACATTTGAAATATTAAGTAAAAATGGACTTATCTTATTAACATATGATTATAATAAATGAATCAATACCTCTGATATTAAGTGATCTAAGTTAATCACTAAGCTTTCTCGTTTTACTGTTTGGAATACTATAGTCACAATGTATACGTAAAACCACTGTATACGGATTATTTGTAAATACGTTTTCACTGATAATTATTTATAAGACTAAAACATGTCTAATAGTATATCTTGGATATCGGATACTGAAATTTTTAATTTTCATACTTTCAAAACTACAAGTATAATACGATACAGAATTCCCCCATTCTTTTACTACAAAGAATATGCACTTATCTTTAGCGTTGCTGCTTATTTTGGAATATTCTGAATAGGTTTCTTTTTATGATGGTAGCATGCCCGTTTTATTTATACACGTTATATTTTGTTGAAAATATAATATTCACAACTTATACTTTGATATACAAGTGTAGTGTATTTTAGCATACACGTTTAATATCCAGGTAAAAAATTGAAAAACAAAGCGTTAAAAAATATATAATTTTAATATTTAGTTTTTATGTGTATGATAGTTTGCTATAGATGTATATAATTTTAAATTACGTTACTAAACTTTTATTGAAATTATTAATTGTTAAAATATTTAAATTATTAAATATTAAAGTATATTATAATTTTCATAAATTTTGCTATGTTATAATTATGCACTAATATGTTTTCCAAGTCAAAATTATCCATATTTTAATTATCTAAATATTTTTAGGGCACCTCTTCCTGAAATGAGATCAGCAGCGACAAACATCGAGGTTCCTTCATCGAGCATGCAAGCCACACTTGTTGGAAATGTTCAACCAATAAGTTTTACTAATAGACCAGATAGTAATGTTTGATTTTTATAACAGTAATTGGCAAAAGTTCATTACTTTGTATGAATGATAATGAATGTTGTTTTGATAAAATAATCAGTTGCCAAATCCATGAATATTTATTGCGTTATTAAAACAGTTGTATTTACCTTATAACGATATTTGAAAATCCTTAAATATTTTTCCTCGTATCAATTATTTGTATCATTTGTATTAAATTTTAAATGAATTTTTAAATCATGTTCTTTTTTTATTACATAATTTTCAATTTAATAAGTTAATATAAATTATACGTACTTCCAGTAAACGTAGCCGCTATAGGCATAGACGTATGAACGATTATCCGAGAATGTAGTAATTATATTGATCACTTATTTAAGATAACACCAAAGTCAAAGACTGCCATAAAAATGAATATTCGGAATTATATTCATGGGCTTGGTTTCATGATTTTATCTATTTATTGTGTCATAGTAATTTAATAATGAAATTTATGATGGGAAAACTATTCTTATATTAATTGATTTTGGATATATTGTTTACTTAAATTTTACATCTTATGTAAATGAGTTATGATATTTTAAGTCAAAATAACACTTCCAAAATCAAAATCCAAGACTTTCACATAGATCATTCATAGTGATAGAGGATGGAAGAGTCATAATAGCTTTATCTTTATTAATGTGGATGCATATTTGCAATAATATATGCCATCTGCATAATGTATAGGGCAAGTCATATAATTAGTTAAGATGAATCATAGCTTCCTTTTGTTTAAAATATAAAAAAAACTAGAAAAAAATACTTGAAGAAAAAGTTAGGCAGTGTAATAAGGTTTATTTTGTTTTGACCTCATTTTCTTTTTAAATATGATACTTTACATAGTTTCATACTTTCGTGATGAAAGTAAATAAATATGTTATGACATATTTCAAATTTTTTGAATTTAATTTTTCAGATTTGTCACTAAAACCTCTGATACAATTTTGTTATTTTCTGTATTTTGTGATTAATTGCAAAAAATTAACATGTTTTTATAAAATACGTGTAATCATTGTTTATAATATGGATTTTTGAGCAAAATTCATATATTAATTTACATATGTATGTATATTTTAAATTTCAAAACCTAAGTTTGAAAGCTATTGACATGAAACTATATATTAAAACTATCGTTTTTACTTACTGTTAAAAAAATATATAATGACTTATGTGATATTTTCGATAAAATATCTGCATACTTAAAATTATTCTTCTTTGTTTATTGAAAAAAATTTGAAATGTCTTATAAAATATTCATAAATTCCACAAAATATTGTTTCAATACTTTATTTTAATAGTTTTGTAAATAAAACTATTATAAATATCGACTACGTTACAAAGGTTACGTAGTTTAATATAGAAAAGTATTATTTTTTTAGCACGTTATTGCAATTAAGATAGAAATGAGGTCACAAGAAAATAAATTTAATTGCATTATTTAATTTTTTCCATTACTGTTTTTTTCTAATATGAGTAATAAAGAACTACGCAATATCCTAGTTGGGTAGTTCACGTTGAATATTCTCTCTGCCAAATTAATTTTATACATAATTATATACTTGTATCAGTTCATTTTTAATTACTGTATTAATACTAGTATTTACGTTATATTTATGTTTTATGGTATTCCTAAAGACTTCTAACTCTTTTGTAGTTTAGACTTAGTTTTATACTTTCACAGCCAAATATAGTTTTAACTTTTATAAGAATAATTGATTACAATTATATGTGATAAGGCAGAGAGAATAAGTAATATGTTATGTTCGTATAACCTAATTTATATATATACAGAGTTGGCAGTACATAATATTCAGATTATTTTAGCAATTTTTGCATTAGACTTTGTTCTATTCAAAATTATGTTCATTAGTATAAGGTTATAAATATGGTAATTGTTATTTCCTTTTATAAGAACATTTTAATTATTTTTCATTGTAAACTTATGTTAACGTATCTTTGATCAAATAAGCATTTACTTTAGAATTCAAATTATTGAATTACTGTATCATTTTCTTTATTTACATTCCTATTTTTAATTGATTTATTTATTAAGAACGTAAAATTAATATAAAATAGGAACATTTAATTATTTACATGGTTTTCGTGTTTATATGCTTAATAAATTCAGTTTGAATACCATTTTACAAATAAAGTAGCCTGCAGAAATATTCGAACACCAAAGTATTTAAATGTATATCGTCAAATATGCTTATTTATAATTACAGTCGTGTCCTGTATCCGCGGTTAATATTATAATGTATTAGTACATTCTCAACTCCTGATAGAATTATGATGTTGGCAAAATAGTAGGAATATTTTGTTATTAGACACGACTTGTACAAAGAAGTTTTGAACAATGTAAATAGTAAACTGTGCTATGAGAGCCCCAAAACTGGTATTAAATTTTTGTTAATATATTTCTTTCCTATAATCATTTCTAAGTTACTGCTTTGGAATTGAATTTTAGAAGGATAATTTTATTCCTTCAAAGTGAATTACCACAAATACAAAAAAATACATATCTTCTTTTGATTGTTTTACAAGGTTACACCATTCTCCAGAAAAATCAAAGAAATAAAAAGTTATTTTGATATTGAGTCTTGTTCATTCACCCTGTATAATATGATAATTGGATAACGTTAGGATGACTATTATTTAGCCTTGATGATAAAATTTATCTTTCAAGTTTCATTCATGGTATTCACTAAAATAAGTTCAATAAGTAAAAAAGTAGGGTAAAGTATAAACTTAAACGTTACATATAAATGTAACTGAACAACGAGAAAAGCAATCCCTGAACCTTTGAATATTTAAATAATTGAAAGCTTTTTTCATAAAAGAATATAGCAAACAAAAATTATAAATGTAAGAAAAGATTCTCTTTCATATTCTACTATAATTTTTTATAGTTTTAAGTGGTTTTTCAAACAAATTTAATATTTATTTTTTAATTTTATAAATCTTAATGTGTCTTGAACATTTTTTGTTTATTAAAATTAAAAAATATATAATCATCATTTTCGGTCTTAAGGAACCATTTTTTAAAAACTCAAATTTCTTTAAAAATAGCATAACTACAAAATTTTGTTAACTATAATACTAAAAGTTGATAAATATCAATAATATATAATAAGACAAAACAAGAAGTCTTAATAATATGAGAATATGGGAAGTATGTAAATAGATTAAGACATATGTATACGACCATTCATAGTGAAATATAATGTGACTACAATAAACCTCGATATAAGCGAATTCCTACATTGATTAATTTTCTGTATTGATCAGCGTAGAAAAAGAAAGCGAGCGAAGAAAACAACTGAATGTAAGTAAACAGTACATATCTGTGAAAAAATATTAATGCAACAATAAAATATTTGTATTCCTGTTGTTTTTATTATGAAACTTTTACCAACAGATTTGTAACATTTTGAGTTACTAGATATGTTTTGCATAAATTATCAGAAATCGATTTACTCCGTTTACACGCATTAAAAATAATTGGTTTATCTCTTATTTACGAACAACGAATAACTGAACATTATTTTTAATTGTTCTATTTATTAACTAGCAAATAAGGAATTTTAAAATAAAGGCTTCCTACTAAACAATTATACTGACCAGGCCTAAAGACGCTTTTTCAATCGTCACGGTCGAAGATTGGTCGGAATTTTTCATTAATAATTCAGAAACTAATTTAATTATAAAAGAAAAAGAAACAATTGTTTAGCATCGCCTCATCTCCCAACCCTTATCTCGAAAATGCTCACATGTCGAACACCCTGTATACAAGCCACTATAAATTAGATGTCAAGCATTTGTACAGTGATTTGAACGAGTACCCCGTTTTGCCATATTAGTTATATGATACAATTTGATTTCACATTATTTAAAAAAAAACTATTTTGCAGAAAATTAAATGCTAAAACCTAATTAAAAGAAACCATTTTCTCTTTCTAACGACAGACTTGGTACAGGCAAAGTAAAAAATAAAAATTCGATCAACTACTGGAAATGATACTAGTGCAGGTTACTGGCATAGTGTAGAGTGTAGAGCGTAAACGGTCCCTTACAAGAACTATCTTCGACGATGTAACTCGTTGGACTTCTAATTGGACAGGATGTTTATTCCTTGTCTTCAAATAACGCGGGATTTTTATATATTCCAACACAGGCGATTTTCTTATGCTAGTGATTTGAAATACTGAGAAGATTGAGGCAAAAGTCTAGATTAGACCAGGTTATTATGAATATGTTTATGACCTCCATTGCTCGTCCGGAAAATCAAGAGAAGAAACGATGACATTTACTACTTGCTTTCGTGGCAAACAATTCTACTTCGTATTACTACATTTTTTAATGTTATTATTGAAAGTCATATCATTTAACTCCAACTTGTTTTTGATCAGCGATAGGGCCTCTGTTTCTAAAGGTTTCTTATTCGACGCGTACATGATGTAAATAGAATTATTCTTCTTCCAGCCTACTGGAAATGCTTTTGGTTACCAGTATTACAAGAGCTTAAAATCTTGTCGTATCGTTTTATTAATATAGGAAATGGCAGACTCATTATCTATCTTTAATTGGATTTTAGAGTCTTTTTTACATCAGTCACATAATCTTTTAGAATTAAGTCGATGCACACCAACTCGATGTAGAGGCATTAATTTGATACATTATTCTTTCATCAATTCAAATTTGGAATGTCGATTGAAAACCATATAGGTAAATATTTTGTTACTAACATAAAGAGATTCATCGTCTAAAACAGACGGATAAATTATTGAAAGAACATTTTCCTTGTGTTCGCTGGGCGAAGTCAAACTTTCTGTTCCTGTTTGTAAATTTTTCCACTTTTCTTGGATTCTAAATAATTTTTTATACAAGATGCCTACTTGTTCCTGTTTGCGTCTTTTTGGTATCATTTTCCTATAAAACTGAAACAACGTGAAACCATAAAAACATAAAACCTTTTGCTTTAACAGTCTTATGTTTCTTTCTCTAATCAAAATTTTAAACTACATTTTAGCTAGAACATAAACTATCTTAGATCTTAAATACTTCCAACCTAACTGCGTGCTATACAGATTAAAAACTTTGGTTTCAATCATCGCAAAAGTGGAGAGCTTGTCCTTATAAGCCAAATTCAAAATAAATCGGATTAATTAATGTTAATATTTATACTGATTATATTTTTTAAAATAAATCTTTAAATCTTATTAAATCTTTTATCATTAAATTTACTTCACTGACGGTGTATGTTGCTTATCATGTATTCACGAAGAATGAATAAATGAACACTACTTTTAAGTATTTTCTTCGTTATTTAACCCCTTAACCTACGATTTACGCTCGAGAATTTTGGGCCGGAAACGTAATGTTTATGTTTGACTCGTTCATTTTATACGGGCTATGCCCGTAATATTTACTTCTGGCCCAACCATCGTACGCGGGCTATGCCCGTCATTGTAGGTTAAGGGGTTAACTGAGTTTTAATGTAAAGTTTTTTTATTAGAAGTTTATACTGTTTCGAGGCAAAGGCGCTTGATTACGTTTGCATTCAGCCGCTAGACTCGAAGTTGTCGTTCCCGCTTCTCGGCGTGCATAATCCCCGCGCTCTGATTGACTCGTATTTTTGCTTAATAATTCAAAAACGAAGCTTCAAATCTTATTTTTGCAAAGGGAAATTTTGTTCAAAATCACGTCAACTACCTCCCATTTCAGGGACCTACACTAATTGTGAGACAAGCAGTAAAGACAAAAAACACTCATGATATTTGGAATGTAAAGTATTTTAGGCTTTAATTGTATGAAAGTTACTTCAACATTTATGTAGATAAAATATATAAAAATATAATGTCAATCTATATATATTGATAAGACTGTGTCCCGATAGTAGTGCAGAAACTTTGAAGAATAATTTCA